CTCCTGAATCGTGGCGTTGCTAGGGCCTTGGAGGGACCTTGGAGGTCTTCTAGTCCAACAGCTAAGGGGACTGGGTATGTTTAGCCTAAGGAAGATAAATTCTACGGCTGCATTAACAGAGGGATAGAATCAAGATCATACGAAGAGTTTGTTCCCCTTTATAAAACCTGAGAATACGGCATAAAGTTTTGGTCACGGTGGTGTAAAAAAGATGTTAAGATTCTGGAAAGAGGGCAGAGAAGAGCAACAAAGGTGATCAGGGGACTGGAGGCTAAAGCATATAAGGAACGGTTGCTGGAATTGGGGATGTTTAGTTTAATGAAGAGAAGGATGAGGGGGGACAGGATAGCAGCCTTCTAGTATCTCAGGGGCCGCCCCAAAGAAGAGGAAGTCAAGCTATTCTCCAAAGCACCTGAAGGCAGGATAAGAAGCAACGGGTGGAAACTAACCAAGGAGAGAAGCAACCTGGAACTAAGGAGAAACTTCCTGCCAGTGAGAACAATTCATACTCTTCATTAAACTAGACATCCCCAATTCCAGCAACCGTTCCTTGTATGTTTTAGCCTTCAGTCCCCTGATCATCTTTGTTGCTCTTCTCTGCCCTCTTTCTAGAGTCTCAACATCCTTTTTACATCATGGTGACCAAAACTGGATGCAGTCTTCCAAGTGTGGCCTTACCTAGGCCTTGTAAAGTGGTAGTAACACTTCACCTGATCTTGATTCTATCCCTCTGTCAATGCAACCTAGCACTGTGTTAGCTTTTTTGGCAGCTGCAGCACACGGCTGGCTCCTATTTAAGTGATTGTCCATCAAGACTCCGAGATCCCTCTCACAGTTGCTACTATTGAGCAAGGTACCCCATATACTACTATACCTGTGCATTTGGTTTTTCTTGCCTAAATGTAGAACCTTACTTTTTCCACCATTGAATTTCATTTTGTTAGATAGCGCCCAGTGTTCAAGTCTGTCCAGATCCTATCCTATTCCATATTCCATATTCCATATCCGATCCGATCCATACCACACGCAGAACAGCTCATGCTCTGCTAGAGAGACGTTCCGTTAGGATGATGGGCTCCGACGTTATCCTGGGACACGTATATTTGCCTTCATTCCTTTCTCCCTGGTTGAAATATGCCCCGAAGAATCCCTGCCAGACACCACTGCCTGTGTATTTCAGCGCCAGGTTGCAGACAATTTATAACTGCTGGAGGATGCCCATCCCTAGCATCCATTAGTTTTCGTAATTGAGTTCCAGCGCAAAAATACGGCCTGGGTTTTTTGTTTTTCCGTCTGCTCCCTTTGTAAGAAAAGAATTATTTTGAACTTTAGCAACTCTGCAGGGAATGGACGTGCAAAGACACTGGCTGTTAACAGCAGCACCCTCCCCGTTGTAAAAGTACTTCTGAAGCAACTAATTCATCAGCGGTCTCTCTTGTCCGTTTAACACCGGAGACACGTAAAAGCACTGTCCCTGCCTTGTTTGTTAGGCATTAGTTAACGCAGTGACAACTTCGCTCCTGCTTTGCTTTCCCTTAGCATCCCTAGACTACCAAGCATTGGCTCTGGATTGCAGGGCGCCATCAGAAATAAGCCACCGGGGATTCATTTTAGACGAGGACTGGCTTGAAGCTACTAGAGATAGGAAAGGGCCACCGCAGGATCGGGGCCTACATCTGTCCGTCTGTCCGTCCCTCTAAAGGAGAATACTTGCAGCTCCGTGTCCTTGGCGCTCTCTGAGCTGGGTGGTTTTCCTGCAGATGTTTCAGGACCCAACTAGGGAACGCCATCAGTGCTAGAAGGGAGTTAGGTTTTGTGGGGGGAGGGAAGGAGGAGGAGGGATGAAGGAGAATGGGGAAGAGAGGAGGAGGAGGACTGTGGGGTCTTTGATGCTCTCTGAGCTGGGTGGCTTTCTTGCAGATGTTTCATGACCCAACTAGGTAACATCATCAGTGCTAGAAGGGGGTTATGTGGGGGGAGGGAAGGAGGAGGAAGAGAATGGAATGGGGAAGAGTGGAGGAGGAGGAGGAGGAGGAGGACGACGACTGTGGGGTCTTTGGTGCTCTCTGAGCTGGGTGGCTTTCTTGCAGACATCTCATGACCCAACTAGATGACATCATCAGTGCTAGAAAGGAGTGGTGTTTGTGGAGAGAGGGAGGAGGAGGAGGAGGAAGAAGAGGAGGAGGAGGAAGAAGAGGAAGAGGAGGGCGAGGAAAAGGACTGTGGTGTCCTTGGTGCTCTCTGAGCTGGGTGGTTTTCCTGCAGATGTTTCAGGACGCAACTAGGGAACACCATCAGTGCTAGAAGGGAGTTAGGTTTTGTGGGGGGAGGGAAGAAGGAGGAGGAGGAGGGATGAAGGAGAATGGGGGTGGAGGAGGAGGAGGACTGTGGGATCTTTGATGCTCTCTGAGCTGGGTGGCATTCTTGCAGACGTTTCATGACCCAACTGGGTAACATCATCAGTGCTAGAAGGGGGTTATGTGGGGGGAGGGAAGGAGGAGGAGGAGAATGAAGGAGAATAGGGAAGAGTGGTGGAGGAGGAGGAGGAGGAGGAGGAGGAGGAGGACAACGACTGTGGGGTCCTGGGTGCTCTCTGCAGACGTTTCATGACCCAACTAGGTAACACCATCAGTGTTAGAAGGGGGTTATGTGGGGGGAGGGAAGGAGGAGGAGGAGAATGAGGAAGAGAGGAGGAGGAGGAGGAGGAGGAGGAGGAGGAGGAGGAGGAGGAGGAGGAGGAGGACGACGACTGTGGGGTCCTTGGTGCTCTCTGAGCTTGGGGGTTTTCTTGCAGATGTTTCATGACCCAACTAGGTAACACCATCAGTGTTAGAGGGGAGTGGGCTTTGCAGAGAGGAGGAGGAGGAGGAGAACTTTGGGGTTCTGGGTGCTCCTCCTGTCTGTCTCTCTTCTAAAAGGAGGTCTCTGTTAGTTGCCCTGCCTTCCTGGCGATTTGGAGAGCGAGATTGTTTTTGTTCCTTACGCTGAAGGCGGGCTGCTCTTTTTAATAGATATTGAAGCATGGCACCCTATTATTTTTTTTCCCCCATTTAATTACATGCCCCATTAAAGTGAGCTGCTGATCTATCAAAATGAAATATCGCTGGGGGAAAAAAACGTGGCCTTTCTTTCCATCCCTCTTTCGCCGTGGGGTCTTGCGCGAGTCCCGTTCGGCGCGAATGAAAAACGGCACCAAAGCGCCCGGCAGAAAGGCACGGGGGGGGGGGGGCTTGCCCGTTCAAATCCTCGGAAGACCAGACCGCGCTCTGGACGAATAAGGAGCTCCAGAGAATGAATTTTTTTAAAAAAGTAATAATAAAAAAATAAAGATCTGGACGGGATCCTGGGTGTTTTCTGAGCTGGGTTGTTTTTCCCCCCCGCAGACGTTTCGCTACCCATCTAGGCAACATCATCAGTGCTGGGAGGGTTTATACGGACGTGGCTTGCCCGGTTGATGTTGGGGGGGCCTTGGCTGTTTTTGTATCTCTGTTGAGAATGTGGCACAGGGGAAGTTGAGGCCCTGAGCAGCCGGGGGGGGGGAGAACGGGGGGGGGGCATTGGGGATACAGCGTCTCCTGTTTTGCATGGTGGAAAGAACTATGGGTGGAGGCTTTTTCTTCTTCCTCTTTCTCTCTTCTTCCTCCTCCCCTCCCCTCTGCTCTGCTCTCCTCCCTTTCCTCTCCTACCCCTCCTCTCCCCCTTTCCTCTCCAGTTCCTCCTTCCTCTTCCTCCTCCTCCCCTCCCCTCTCCTCTCCTCCCTTTCCTCTCTAGTTCCTCCTTCCTCTCCTCTCTCCTCCTCCTCTTCCTCCTCCCCTCCCCTCCCCTCTGCTCTCCTCCCTTTCCTCTCCTACCCCTCCTCTCCCCCTTTCCTCTCTCCTCCTTCCTCTTCCTCCTCCTCCCCTCCCCTCTCTGCTCTCCTCCCTTTCCTCTCCTACCCCTCCTCTCCCCCTTTCCTCTCCAGTTCCTCCTTCCTCTTCCTCCTCCTCCCCTCCCCTCTCCTCTCCTCCCTTTCCTCTCTAGTTCCTCCTTCCTCTCCTCTCTCCTCCTCCTCTTCCTCCTCCCCTCCCCTCCCCTCTGCTCTCCTCCCTTTCCTCTCCAGTTCCTCCTTCCTCTTCTCTTCCTCCTCCTCCTCTCCTCCCCTCTGCTCTGCTCTCCTCCCTCCTACCCCTCCTCTCCTCCTTTCCTCTTCCTCCTCCTCCTCTCCCCCTTTCCTCTCCAGTTCCTCTCCTTCCTCTCTCCTCCTTTCCACTTCCTCCTCCTCCTCCCCTCCCCTCCTCCCCTCTGCTCTCTTCCTCCTCTGCTCTCGTTCCTTTCTTCTCCTCTCCCTCCTCTCCTGTTCCTCCTCTCCTCCTCCTCTCCTCTGCTCTCCTCCTTTCCTCTCCTGTTCCTCCTCTCCTCCTCCTCTCCTCCTCCTTTCCTTTCCTCTTCCTCTTCCTCCCCCTCCTCTCCTATCCTCCCCTCTCCCCTGCTCTCCTCCTCCTCCCTCTCCTCTCCTCTTCCTTTCCTCTCCTCTTCCTCCTCCTCCCCTCCTCTCTCCTCCCTTCTCCTCTCCTCTCATCCTCTCCTTTTCCTTTCCCTTCTCTTCCCTCCCCTCCTCCTTTTATTTTTTTCTTCCTTTAATCTTTCCCTTCATCCGTCATTTACTTCCCTTCCCCCTTCCCCTCCCTTCTTTTCCCGCCTCCTCCTTTTTTACTCTTTTCTTCCTCCTCCTCCGCGTTGATCTTTTCCTTTCCTCCACCTTCCCTTCCCTTCTTCAGTCGTTTACTTCCCTTTTCCCCTCCCTTCTTTTCCTTTCCTGCCTCCTCCTTTTTTACTCTTTTCTTCCTCCTCCTCTTTTAAATCTTCCCTTTCTTCCATCTTCCTTTCCTCCCGGGTCAGTGCGGCCTCTGCTCATCCCCCCCCCCCGTGTCAGACTGGAGACTGAAGCTTCCTGTGTGTGGGGGGGGGAAACTGTCAGGGGGGGCAATCTTTCACCTGCTCTCCTCTGCTCCCTCTTGCAGATGGTTCCCAAACCCATCACCCTGGAGCCCTGTTTTGGCAACAAGGCAGCGGTGCTCTCCGTCTTTGTGAGGTTGCCAAGAGGCCTGGGTGGGATCCCGCCACCTGGGCAATCAGGTAAGTCTCCAGGTTCCTCTTTACAAGCACAGCACCTGGGGCCCCTCCCCTTTCCTTCCCCAAGATCCCTGGGACGTCACTGGTCCTGCATCCGGGATCTATTATGGATGTTTTCCAGGAGGAACATTTTTCCCCCTCCGGGACAGAGGATGGCCTAGAGCAGGGGTAGGCAACCTCGGCTCTTTTATGACTCGTGGACTTCAACTCCCAGAATTCCTGAGCCAGCCACGCTGAGGGGAAAGGGAGAGGTTTCCAAGCTGAGCCATGCTGGCTCAGGAATTCTGGGAGTTGGAGTCCCCAAGTCATAAAGTTGCCAAGGTTGAGGAGCCCTGATATAGCGCAGGGGTAGGCAACCTTGGCTCTTTTGTGACTCGTGGACTTCAACTCCCAGAATTTCTCAGCCAGCATGGCTCAGCTTGGAAGCCTCCCTTTCCCCTCAGCATGACTGGCTCAGGAATTCTGGGAGTTGAAGTCCACGAGTCATAAAAGAGCCGAGGTTGCCTACCCCTGCTCTAGACCTAAACCTTTCACTGTGGAAAATGTCTCTCTATGCCAAGGGTCTTCAAACTTGGCCCTTTTATGACTCGTGGACTTCAACTCCCAGAATTCCTGAGCCCCTTTTATGACTCGTGGACTTCAACTCCCAGAATTCCTGAGCCAGCCATGCTGAGGGGAAAGGGAGAGTTTCCAAGCTGAGCCATGCTGGCTCAGGAATTCTGGGAGTTGGAGTCCACGAGCCATAAAAGAGCCGAGGTTGCCTACCCCTGGCCTAGAGAAGCTCCTCCCTTCCCAGGATGCATTTGGTCTCTGCTGTCAGGGGGCCATCCTCTGCCCAGGAGTGTGGGGGGGGGGGGAAATCCCTCCTGGAAAACCTACAGCCTTGTCTCCATAGCAACCCAGCGGCCCTATCGACTACATCACAGGGGGGGTGTCTCCAGCCGTGGCAACTTTGAAGACGGGTGGGCTTCGGCTCCCAGAATCTTTCAGGCCAGCCCAAAGGTGTGTTTCTCAACCTCGACGACTTGAAGACCTTCAAGACTTCGATTTCTCCTGCTGGCTGAGGAATTCTGGGAGTTGAAGTCCACGAGTCATCAAAGGGCCAAGTTTGAAGACCCCTGATATAGACTTTAAGAGGAGTGGACCTCAACTCCCAGAATTCCTCAGCCAGCGTTCTTGGCTCAGGAATTCTGGGAGTTGAAGTCCACAAGTCATAAAAGGGCCAGGTTTGAAGACCCCTGCCTTAGACAGTAGTGGGGGCGTCCAGCAGGATGAAGTCCCAATGACAGATATCCACACACAATTCTCTGCAAAAAAAAAAAAAAAAACCTCAGAAACTGAAGAAATGAACATTCCACTTGTCCACTTCTGAGCTGGACTTTGTTAATTAAACAAACCGGATTAAGAAATTGAACTGCTATTTAAGAAATACAGACAGTTCTCAAATTATGACAGCAGTCGAGGCCAAAATTTCTGTTTAGCTGCACTGGCTGGGGGATTCTGGGAGTTGAAGTCCACCGGAGCTGGCTGGGGAATTCTGGGAGTTGAAGTCCACTGGTGCTGGCCTGGGAATTCTGGGAGTTGGCCCACCGGTGCTGGCTCTGGAATTCTGGGAGTTGAAGTCCACAGGTCTTAAAGTAGCCAAAGTGAAGAAGCACTGTTCAGGAGTCTGTAGCTGGGCTGCAACTCTCTCTCTCTCTGTGTGTTTGTGTCTGTTTATGTGTTTTCCTTCGTCCAGGTCTGGCCGTCGCCAGCGCTTTGGTGGACATTTCACAACAGATGCCTATTACCTACAAAGACAAGTCGGGAGTGGTACGAAACAGGAAACAGCAACCTCCAGCTCAGCCCGGAACCTGTATTTGATGCATGGACATCAGAACTGCCTCTTTAGGATTTTAAACCCAAGGTTAGCCCTCTGAGAAGGACCGCCATTTTTGTTTCAAAAGGCCATGGGTGCAGAGGGAGGCCTCAAAACTCTTGAGAACACCCAACGCTTCCTCTTGAGGTCGGCGCTGCCTCGGTTGACTCCGTTCGGCACCTGCTCCATCTTAGATCAGCCAATCCCCTTAATGCTGGACAGCTCCCACGTTTTCCCGGTTGCTCCCCCTTCCTTGGTTTTAGACCTCCCGCGGCATGTCCTTCAGCAGACCTCTCCACCACCAACCAAGGTTGGCCTCAGCCTGGAAGACGCCTCCGAAGACCGATCGACGGAACGTAACTTTTTCCTCCGGGTTGAACGAGCATCGCCAATCCTGCTCATTTTCTGCCCTCGGTCGCTAGACGCCACGATTTCAGAAGAAGCCGATAGACCCAAGGTTCCTATTTATTTCTCTGGAGAGCAGGCCTTGCCTTGCGTCGATGGGGGTAGTAGCGTTATTTTTCTCCAAGTCAAGGTATTAAAATTTGGGGGGGAGCAACGGCGTACGGTTGAACTCTACCCCTTGTTTCCCTTTTTTTTTAAAAAAAAAAAAAAACCCTCTTTTTCCGGGGGGTATTTCTTCCCCGTCCTGATGTGGGCCTGTGTAGTGACGGACATCTTTACCCGCTTCCTACGGTTTTAAATAGATCTAGGAAGTAAGGGATGAGTACAGTCACGTTTTGTACATGCTCTGTCTTCTCCCTCCGCCGTGTTTGTTTTTTTAACGCCGCTAACTGGATTCCGGGCGACAGGACCGCAGCGATGTCCATGCGAGAGACATTACGGCAACGCCAAAGCGGAGCCGGTGGGCGGACGGCACGCCTTGTATGTTCTCTCCGCGGTAGCAAGTTCAGTGACTTTTCCCTGTTTGGCAATTCCTGCCTCTTCGTCTCTTTAGGCCCATTTCTACCTGGCAGAGGTTCAAGGCTGAAATGGCTCCCGGTGGGCCGAAGGTCCCCAAGTCCTTTACGCAAACAAACACACACACACAACGCACCCAGAACGACACGCTTATGTACAATACAGGACCAGGGTAATGTCCCCGAGGAAGGACCGAGAGTTGGGGTGCAGCTCAGCTTCCTGACTGGCACCTCAAGAAATGCAGACACTATTCCCCAAGGCCCAAGGGATCCTCAGCCCCCTTTGGATGATCCGGGTGTGGGTCCCTACTAAAAAACTAGTTGAAAACTAGACCATCTCCCCTTTCTTTTTGGTTCATCGGCCCGGATGTAGCGGCCTCCTTGTCTACTAGAGACAGAGATCGGTCAATTATTTACAAGCAAGAGAGTCCAGAATCAAGAAATGCTGGTTTTGTTTAGGATGCTAGTTATCAGTAGTTGACGCATCAAAGGTCATGGAAAGGGCTAGTTTTTTTCTTGCAGTTACAGCTTCCAAAAACAGGGTGGGAGAGGTTGCCCCAGCCCGTCCCACCCCACCGGTGTGGCATGCCCCCTCCACTCCAGCAGCCGTGGATGCTGATGCTACACAGACCGAAGAGATAACTTGCAAATCCGACAGGCAGCTGTGAGCAAACATTGGTGGCCCTATCGCTGCCGTGGCATGTTTGCGCCAAGCTCTCCCCCTCTCTCTCTCTCTCGCTCTCTCTCTCTCCCCCTCTCTCGCCATGCATGCATGCACGCAAACACGCACGCCGTGAGAACCGGCTCTCGCGCTTCGTTGCCCTCTGCAGCAAAGCACGGCCCTCCGCGGGCCGCGTCGAAGAGCGAGGCAGAATCGACCGTATCAAATTGCTCGGCCGTGGCAAATCTTTACGGGCTCGAGGTTAGCGCCATCGTTCCGCCCTTCCCAAACGCAGCACTGTATAATATGTGGTGTTTTTTTTTTTTAAGAAAAAAAAAAGTTGGAAATTTTGGTGAAGGAAGGCCGGGGGTGGGACGACACAACAGGATTCTCGGGCTGTTTCACCGTCACCAAACCGTTTCCGTCTCCTGATCCGCGAGTGACAAAACACGTCTTTAGTGTTTTGTCACTCGCCGTCTTGCATACGCCGTCTTGCATACGGCCGAATCTGTACGCACGGACTCTCGCAGAACTGGAACAAATGTATAATTAAAATTGGTCACTCACCCACCCACCCTTTTTTTTTCCTCCCCTAAAGCTTTGAATCCGACGAATTATCCACCGGAAAGCTGAAAATACACAGTGGGATTAGATCTCCAATGGCTGAGTGGTTGATATGAAGCCGGGGTGGGTCCGTTTCTGCTCGGTCTCCCAGTAGGAACCAGTTTGCTGCTCCATCGGTTGTCCCAGAAGCTCAAATCCCAGGTTTCTAGGAGAGACGATCCAAATGTCCCTTGCGACAGCCGGGATACTTTTCTGTGCACATTGGAGGGGTGAGAAATCATTGTATTTCTTTCGTTCCTGTCCTCGGATTTGGAGGCGGGTTGGGAAAAAATCCAGCCTCAAGCAGAACTGATTTTCGGAGAGCCCCAAATGGTGCTCTTCTTTTGCTGGAAGAAAATGTCAACGGGGTGGAGAAAAGACAATGTTCCCCCAAATGGTTAGGCTTGCACACAGAACCGAAAACACGGCAGGGTCAGGCGTCCATCCGTTCAGAGCAGAGACCGCAATCGTCTCGGTGGTGACCCAGGGACCGTTGAAATTCAATTCCAGCTAAATTGCCCACTTAAATTGGAAAGAGGCCTCCGGTTGAGTCAGCACCTCCGATGCACTTATCCCCCCCCCCCCCGCGAGGTGTTTCCCCAACCCCCAGAGAGCAAGGAAGGTGTCTTTTCTTAAACTTACAAGCACTTCCCCCTGGTTTAAAAAGAAGGTGGGGGGAAAAAAAACCCAAAAGGGGGGGGAAAAAACAGCCTAAGGAGCATACGGCTGTACGCAGCCCAAAAGCTTTTTTTCGTTGCGAAGGATTTTGTTGGCAAAATCGTCACCCAGAGCATCAGCATCGGCAACGAAAAAACAGCGGGGAAGATGTCAGGAGGATGACCAAGCTGGAAAGAGGATCTTAACGTACACACATGCACACACACACCCCCGGATTCTCTCCGGGTGTCACCGGAGGAGACGGCTGTCTAACAATTTGCGCGGCCGAACGCTGCAGAGCTTTTAAGCTGTCAGCTTCTTTCAGCTGCGCTGTGGGAAAAAGGGAAGGCGTATCCGCGCGTCCCCTCTTTCCCCACCCTTTAAAACGGGGTGTCTTGTCGGTTTGCACACCCCATCTCCCCTTTCTGAATTCACATCTCGGCAACCCCTTCTCCTCCTCCTCTTCCTCCTCCTCCTCCTCGGTCTTTGCAACAGCGTTGGCTCCTCTGAATCAGAGAAAAGGCACCCAGGAGCGTTTGGAGGAACCGAATTCGAGAGAGTTTGGCCCAGCTGTCTTTTTGCACCCAAAAAAAAAAAAAGTCTTTTGTTTAAAAGCGCCGAGACTGTCATCCCGGGCCTGTCTTTAATTGTTCCAGTGTGTTCTGTTCACGTTTTTTCTTAATTGCACATTTCTGGCAAGTTGAGGGGGGGGGCCCTGCAGGCAATTATCTGACAATTATCACCCCTGCTTTGGGGTTAGGAGTCTGTTGGCTGGTGAGGGAGCGTGCCGGATAATGCAGCTCGCTTGCACATCTGGCTCCGGAGGGTCCGACTTTTTCCTGGTGCCTGGAAATTCCTTTTTCTTCTTCTTGAATCTTCTCCACAAATTAATGTTTTGGGTTTTTTTTCCCCTCTCCGTGTGTGGTGAATTGCAAAGCCTTGGGGAACGACAGGCTGTAAAATTCCTCTTGACAGGTGCTGTTTGCCTCCCAGCTCCAAAGAAACACACACACAGATTTCCCACCTCCCACCCCGTCCCGGATATTCTTAGGAATATAGTCAACTTGATTTCCAAGGTGCTTTTAATGTGAGCTTGGACGAAAGGAACTCGGGTGGAAATGAGCAACTCTTTGGGCGACGGTGGTGGTCAGGATAGGGTTTCGGTACCTGCCGCGGTGCCAAAGGAGTCTTCCGGCAACTGGCCGGCCTCTTCTCTGAATCCCGACGTTGAAAATCTGGAAAGAATTTGGATTCCTTTACGAACAGGGAAGCAGGACAAGTCCTCAGCTTTCCTTCCTGCAGACCAAATTCAGCCGGCCAAACATCGGAGAAGGTAAGGCAAGGGTGGCCAACCGTTGACCGCTTTAAGAGCTGTGGACTTCAATTCCCAGAATTCCCCAGCCAGCCTTTGAAGTTGAAGTCCAGAGACTAGCCAAGATTGGGCACCCTGGATCTGAAGTCAACATGGACCTCTGGTCCCATGCTTTTTGGAGGCCTACAAGATCCAGAGAGGCGCTGAGGCTGATGGATGTGGTGGTTCATCTATTAGTTCATCTATCATGGAGGACGTCAAGTGGTCAAGGCTCCACTCAACCTTGGGGTGAGAGCTCTGGTGGAAAGCATATTCCTGAAGGTGCTTGAGATGAGCTGGTTCTCTCCACCTTGCCTCACTCTTGAGTTTCAGTAGAAGATAACAGAGGGCTTCTTGAGCTGACTCTTCCCCTTCTTCCAGCTTTCCTGACCTCCAGCCACTAGGATCATTGGGTTTTCTAACTAGGAATTATGGATTTGGTTGCTCTCTATCGCCATTCCGGACGCTCTGAATCACCAGGAAGGTCCAATGTCCTTGTAGGGATTGTGGCTGTGTCTACTTCGTGCTTGTTTTTGGAGAACAGCCTTGGTGGAAGATCTTCATCATAGGAAGACACTTTTAGACCCAGATCCTCACCTAGCTGACCCAGATCCTCACCTTCTAGCAGACTCTCAGCTAGAAGACCCAGATCTTCACCTTCTAGCAGACCCAGATCTTCAACTTCTAGCTGACGCAGATCCTCAACTTCTAGCAGATCCTCACCTAGCAGACCCAGGTCTTCACCTTCTAGTTGACCCAGGCCCTCATCTTTTACCAGACCCAGATCCTCAACTTCTAGCTGACCCAGATCCTCAACTTCTGGCAGATCCTCACCTAGCAGACCCAGGTGTTCACCTTCTACCAGACCCAGATCCTCCTCTTCTACCAGACCCAGGTCCTAACCTTCTAACTGACCCAGGTCTTCACCTTCTAGCAGATCCTCACCTAGCAGACCCAGGTCTTCACCTTCTAGCTGACCCAGGTCTTCACCTTCTAGCAGATCCTCACCTAGCAGACCCAGGTCTTCACCTTCTAGTTGAGCCAGGCCCTCATCTTTTACCAGACCCAGATATTCAACTTCTAGCTGACCCAGATCCTCAGCTTCTAGCAGATCCTCACCTAGCAGACCCAGGTCTTCACCTTCTACCAGACCCAGATCCTCCTCTTCTACCAGACCCAGGTCCTAACCTTCTAACTGACCCAGGTCTTCACCTTCTAGCAGATCCTCACCTAGCTGACCCAGGTCTTCACCTTCTAGCTGACCCAGGTCTTCACCTTCTAGCAGATCCTCACCTAGCAGACCCAGGTCTTCACCTTCTAGTTGAGCCAGGCCCTCATCTTTTACCAGACCCAGATATTCAACTTCTAGCTGACCCAGATCCTCAGCTTCTAGCAGATCCTCACCTAGCAGACCCAGGTCTTCACCTTCTACCAGACCCAGATCCTCCTCTTCTACCAGACCCAGGTCCTAACCTTCTAACTGACCCAGGTCTTCACCTTCTAGCAGATCCTCACCTAGCAGACCCAGGTCTTCACCTTCTAGCTGACCCAGGTCTTCACCTTCTAGCAGATCCTCACCTAGCAGACCCAGGTCTTCACCTTCTAGTTGAGCCAGGCCCTCATCTTTTACCAGACCCAGATATTCAACTTCTAGCTGACCCAGATCCTCAGCTTCTAGCAGATCCTCACCTAGCAGACCCAGGTCTTCACCTTCTACCAGATCCAGATCCTCCTCTTCTACCAGACCCAGGTCCTAACCTTCTAACTGACCCAGGTCTTCACCTTCTAGCAGATCCTCACCTAGCTGACCCAGGTCTTCACCTTCTAGCTGACCCAGGTCTTCACCTTCTAGCAGATCCTCACCTAGCAGACCCAGGTTTTCACCTTCTAGTTGAGCCAGGCCCTCATCTTTTACCAGACCCAGATATTCAACTTCTAGCTGACCCAGATCCTCACCTTCTAGCAGATCCTCACCTAGCAGACCCAGGTCTTCACCTTCTACCAGACCCAGATCCTACCAGACCCAGGTCCTCACCTTCTAACTGACCGAGGTTCTCACCTTCTAGCAGGTCCTCACCTTCTACCAGACCCAGGTCCTCACCTTCTGGCCGTTCCCGAAGATCGTTGGAAGCGCTGAGGTTTCGCTTTGCGTTTTCACCTCAAGAGACCCACCCCCTTTCTTCCAAGCGTAGACGACATGACCGTCCTCCCCATTTCTCCTCGGGAACCCTGGAGTTGGAACTCAAGATTTGACTTTCCTCCAGGCTTTGGAAAAGCCGCCAAATGTGTTGTTGTTTACTCCCACCCCACGCCTCCGCCACAAGTGACAGTATTCAGCTCGGCCAGAGGAGCAAGACCTGGAGTCCAAACCCCATCCTTGGAAAGAGAGACCTACAAGAAGGTTGATGTAGCCTCCAACTTGCTCCATCTCAAGATGGGTGGGAACAGAAATCTCATCGCTCCGAGCCAAGCACCGTCTGCAGCCCTGCTAATCTAAGGATGATGAAAATCAAGTTTTTCAATGGCCAAACTGAGAAAGATGGTACACCGTGACATCAACTAATGTGTGTATCGCAAGGTTTCTCAACCTTAGCCATGTTAAGACGGGTGGACTTCAACTCCCAGAATTGGGAGTTGCTGGCTGGGGAATTCTGGGAGTTGAAGTCCACCCGTCTTAACATTGCCAAGGTTGAGAAAGACCTGTGTCAGAACAGCCATTAAATTGGAGGAATTTGCAGCATTGTTAATATTGCAGCCTCCTGCTTCACACACACACACACACACACACACACACACACACACACACTTTAAACGAAGGAAAAAGGAAAACAAAAACTTGCTTTTACTCTGAAAAACGTGTGCGTAAAGTCTGCTTTCTTTCGGGCTCTTTAATTATTATTTTTTTTTTTTTTGAAAAAACGTTTTCTTCTTTCCCTGCAACTGTTTTTTTTTTTTTTTGCTCTTCTCCTGTATTTCAGATCTGAACTTCGTTTCCTTCATATGTATAATTTAGTCCTTGCATTCATATGTAAATAACAAGTATTGTAAAGAATTTTATTGCTGGGAGTGGTATAAAAAAAAACACATTTTAGGGCCTCTGTTTTTTTTCCCTTTGTTTTGGTTCTTGGGGGGGGGCTGTAATTTTTTTTTTATTGTAAAAAAAACGATGTTAATTTAAAAGCAAGAAAGAGGTGACGAGAACATACATTAAAAAAAACCTCCAATGTGAAGTACCGTGTCTATAAATAGAAATAAAGAATGAAACTTTGCCCCTTTTCTGGAATTAAAAAAAGACGAAAAGCAGAGATTCTAGTTTCCAAACTCAAGTGTGTGAGTTGTTGTGTGTGAATTCCAATAGAAAACGAAACCTCAAATCTGGACGCAATTTCACAAACGCATTGTGAGTTTGGGTTATACAGGGAATCCTCAGTTGACAATAGGGTATCTAGTGAAAAAAGGGACTTAACAACTGTTTGTCACACTTGGGACCATTGCAGCATCCCCAGGGTCACATGATCAAAAGTCGGATGCTTGGCAACTGACTTGTACTTATGCCTGTGGCAGCATCCCAGGATCACGTGATCCCCTTTTGCGGCCTTCTGACAAGCAAAATCCGTGGGGAAGCCAGATTCACTTAACAACCTAATTGTTACTAATTGAACAACCGCA